AATATAATCCTATACCAATTTAACATCCAACTTCTTTTCTACACATTGCGGAATGCACATTTACTGACTAAGAATACAAAAATTTGTCCTTTGTGCTACCCTAAAACTCCAGGCAAAATCAGTCACCCAAAGTTACTCCTAAGTTCTGCACATGCTTCACTTATGAGTCAGCACAATGACAAGGAGTTATTAAATACCAATTCTTTGACCCCAAGAGAACACAATGAACAATAGTTGAAACGTTTATCAAAATGGGAAAGCAATAAATTTGTTAGATCTCTTTTGAAAGTTCAAATACTTTGCTCCCAGTCAATCATGATAATCAGCATTTGAAAAGCTATACAATATCTTTACATTTGTCCTTAAAAATAATGTAAGTGGATTTTATACCAGAACATGTTGATGGATTGACTTTATTAGATACTAATATAAGAAACTTAAATTCCATTATATTTTACTGAAAAGGGTAAGAAACTTAAACCACACCTATGTCCTATGTCTCAAAGCTATAGAAGCTTTGTCCCATCCAAAGTTCCAAGACTAAAAGGACCATGGACATCCAGGAAAATTCAATTTGTTGCTATAACAGAAGTTGAGTAGAGATGAATGGGATAAGGAAGAATCCTTGATTTGGAATCTCTTTATTGTAAATAAAAACCAACTATTAGTGTTAGAAAAAGGATGATTTAATATAAAAAAGAACTTAAGGAATAAAGATGTTAAAAGTTGGGCATTGTAAAATATGCAACAAAGTTAAAAGAAAGCAAATTTCCACAGAAAAACCTAGAAAGCTATTTTTTTCTGAAATACTGTAATTTTCCCCTCATATATTAATATGCATTAAAATAGATACAGTAATACCAAAAAGTTATCCTTTTTAAGAATAATAAATAAAAATAATCAAGGAAAAGATTACTGGATAGTAAAAAAAAAAAAAAAGAAAAAAAAAAGAAAAAGGTGGCTGTAACTTCTTGATGGTAATAAATATACAGGTGGCACTCCCTGATGGCACAACAGGTTAAATCACTGTACTAGGAAGCTATCACAGCTACTGCAGCATGAGTTCAATCCCCAGCCAGGGAGGTAACCCGCATGGCATGGCAGACCTTTCCTGACCCACCTACTGCTCCCCTCATCAGTGTACAATGTACTTCGTCAATCTGCCTGTTGTACTCCCCGCTGTCTCTGGTGAATCCTCTCACTCCCCACCACCTCTGGCCTGTACTCCAGTTCTATATGCATAAATAAATAATTTTTTTAATATAAAGAAATGCACATGTTCTTGAGAGAAGCTAAAATTTCTGACATTCTGATATTATCTTATTTGTAGGATAAACTGATTTATGATATTGCTAAGAGTAAAAAAAATTATTCTTCTTTTAATCCTAATGAGTTATGTGAATAAACTTGGCAGAACACTGTAGCTCTATAAATTCTTGTAAAGGAAGTAGTGTAGATTGAGTTTTCAATCAAATGAGAATCATACAATTTTAGAGCTAATGTTGTGTTTTAAAGAGATAAAAATAGTTCATAAAATTGATCTTAAGTGATTAAATAAAAGTAACTTGCAAGTTCCCATGGCATTTTCTTTGGAATAAGTAACCAAAGAATTAAATCGACCAAAACTCTATCTGGAGTTTAAAAAGAATTAGCAAGCCAAAAGAAATTTTAAATGACCTGAATTATAAGAGTATGTGCATGCTTGTGTACAGACACATCTATAAACTTGCTCATATATTTATTTCCTACAACTAAAATGGAATAAAGATGTGCAAATTAATCTTTTTAAAAAATCTCACATTCAAGGAGAAAAACATGTTGGAGATATTATCTTCCTATTATTTAGTATCCAAGTATAAAAATTTGCCCTGCTCCCTCAACCTATCGATCTGAACTATCTAACAGAACTATCTAGCCCATATATGAATGGCTGCTTTACCAACATCTGTTCAAGTTAACACAGTGTATATTTATAACTGAAACAAGATCTAGAAGTAGCCTTAATTGTAGAGCTTGACAATAGACCAGTGCAGTCTACTGCTGCATCACACTCTAGGAATGACAATACATTGTGCTTTGAAGTCCAAAGCAACAATGGTACAAAATAGCTTAAGATGATGTAATTAGTATGAATAAATTAATATTTTTTTCTATTTAAGGAGAAAAAGAATTACAGCTCACATTCAATACATACTGCATAAGACATTTCAGGTATCAAAGCAAACCTAACCTCTGTTAATTCTTACACAAGTATTTCATTAGGTATGCACTGACTAGACTTTTTTTTACACACTTTTTTTTTTTAAGATTTATTTATTTATTCATATAGAACTGGGGTACAGGCCAGAGATGCAGAGGGTGAGAGGATTCACCAGGGACAGAGTAGGGAGCAGAACAGGCAGATCAACAAAGTACACTGCTGAGGGGAGCAGCGGGCGGGTCAAGAGAGGTCTGCCACGCTATGTGGTCACCTCCTGGGTGGGGATCGAACTCATGCGGAAGTGGCTTAAGCTTCTTAGTGCTGTGCTTTAACCTGCTGCGCCACCAGGGAGGGCCTGCACTGACTAGACTTTTAAAAAAGATATATATTTGTTATAAATTTGATTTGCCTTTTATATAGCATCTTTGATTTTTACTCCTCCTTGTTCTATGTTGCCAAGGTAAAAGGGAAACAGAAAGAAGATGGAAAGGGAAAGAAAACATTCTGTAAAGAAATGTGGAAAAGATTTTATGTGAAGGTGCAGAGGAATGGTCTACATTTTTAACCTTCTATTTCTGAACATGTCACTGTATCAGCACTTCCAGTAACAATACCTCAATAGACTAAATGACTCAATATACTGTGACTTTCATAAATATTGTCTTTAAGACTGCCCCAAATCAACCATTTAAATAAATATATCTTAGAATTATGATCTTAGTGAACATACCAGATATTGTGAAGATGAATTTCTTTCAGACAGTCTTGACCATTCCTTATTTTTGGCCTGAACCAATCCCTATTTCCAGATCATTTTTTTAAAATAAGCTTGATAGGTTTGATTCTCTCAGTGTCACTCAATATATTAACACTAAAGAGAGGACAATACACAGATATACTACCTCAACATCTCTTTCAGTTTCCCCCAATTACTATCAGTATGACATTATTTCTTTAGGAAATACTTTCCTTTAGAAAAAAAAAAATACAATTGGATTGTCCACTTTGTGAACTAGTGCAGACCAGCCATTTATACCATTTTGATGCAACAGAAATTCTGAAATTTTAAAACTCTCAAACTCAGCAAAATTTCTAAAAACAGAAAATTTTTCTGTCAGGAGGAAAAAAAAAAAAAGTATACCCAGTCAGAAAACTCTTACTGATAAGTAGCTGTGCGCTCTTGGCTAAGTCACTCAGCTTGTATGAGCACCTCAATGTATTCTGTATTCTGCAGCCATAGGACTTTTAGGACTGATCATTTTTACAGAATCTTATTTTTAAAATGCTCTGACTTATAAATTATAGTGCTCCACACCCTGGAGCAAGAAATCAATCCATTTCTTATTTTGTGATAATGACAGAGCTTAAAATCCACATTCTGAATAAAGTGGTCCTAATTGTAGAACAATTCCCCTAGAAACATTGAAGATGTTGACTAGCATTAAAGGGTCAGAAAACAGTTTGCTGAACCTTTTACATACTTATAAAAAGAAAAAAAAACTAGCTGTATTTTTACAACTCTGCTTTTCAAAAGACTCAACCACATAAAAATTACAAAAATTTAAATTTACTGGCCCCCAATTGTACACCATTGTACCAAATGACAGTGAAACTGTGTGACTTGCAAAATGTTATATAGCAGACAATAGCATTGCATATTACTTAAAATGAGATAAAAATTTTAATTCCTTAGATTTTCAATAGTTTAAGAAATTTTGAATGTTGATAACCTAATACCACTGACTAAAACCATAAATTAGCACACTTAAACTGTGCATAAAATCCAATGAATGGTTTAAACCACTGAGTAACTACACTTACAATAGTAGTAGGCAGGTAATATATCACATTACACATGCTGCTCACAATTACAGTTAAGGAAGCCAGAGACTCTTGGATGGAATATCTCACTGCTGATTTTTTCTGTTCATTGAAGCTGTGACCAGCTCAAGCAAGTCTCAGGTAGAATAAGAGTAAACCCTGACAGGGTTGCACATTCGTGAGTAAAGAAATTAACTATACCAGCTCCAATTAGATAAAATGGGATAACCTCTGTGGGCAAAAAAGCCTAAACATGATTAATACATGAATGAAATAATTTTGACATGTTTGCTCCTGACGTTTATGATATTTACACTTAATAAATTATATTAGATTCTCAAGATATAATTTCAAAAAGAATGATGAATTTCTCCCCAGATAAGCTGACTGCAAACTTCCAGATGGATGATGGTTCATGGGGTTGAATTCATAGCTCCATGAATTAGATTCCTGTTATTCCTGGCAACTTACTTTTTTCATTATCAATACAGCTGTTTCCCTCCTTTTTTATTGATGCTTCTGCTCATTGTAAATTTCTGCATACAAAGATATGGACATTATGGCTTCCTCACATATGGTTCCTCTAGGCTATACCCATGGATGAAGTTTGATGTAAACAGCAAAATTACAACCATCCCTAACTTCCACCTTCATCACACTCTGCCACTGCTCTGTAACTGAAAACCTGCTACACTTTTCTGCTAGGGTTCCCCTGCTCCTTCCCCATGAAGAAAACTTATGGCACATTTTGACCATTAAAAAAAGGAAACATTTCTAACATTTCTTTAAAACACTGTACAGGGTGAAAGTCACAGCAAGCCACTATCTCCAAGATTCTCATGGCTCAGGAACCACATCATAAAATAGGTTGAAAGCAAGTTTTATCTGGAAAGTGACTTCAGTTAGGTCATTTAACAATGAGAAAGACAATATGCATCTATTTTTAATGGGACATAAGTATGAAATTATGATTTCTGACCTGGATCTGTTGTTGAAGCAAATTTATCTTGTGTTGTTGCTGCAGAAGCTGCTGCTGTTGTCTTGCAATCTGTGAAGAAATAGCACATCAAAAATTTAAAAGCATATTGTAGTTCCAAGGGGAAATCACCAATATTTTATTTCTCCAAGGACATGACAATTATTAAAATGTGTTGGTGCCCCTATACCACGAGTAATTTGTCTAAAATAGGGACAGATAAAATATTTAGCTTTTGGAGAAATTATGTATCTCTCTTTGGCCTACATGAAACTACACAACAATGATCTAATTGGATATGAAGTGTTAAAGAATTTCAGAGATTCCTATTGCAGGCAAACTATTAAGAAAGACCTGCCTCTGACATTTTCAGCTCATTGCTATAAGAGTATTACATGAACAGGGGGCTGTTGTGGCCAAAGAGTTCAAAGAAGCATTGTCTCAAATGCTGTTTATTTCTTAGTGAGATTTTTTCCTTTTTTTTTTTGGTAAAGACTATCCTCATTTCTACTTCTACAAATCCTTAACTGTCAACTCAACATACTCCTTTCTGGTTTCCGCTCCCATTCTTGCTTACTTGATTCGTAATCAAGTTATCATGAGTCCATTTTGTAAAATATAAAGTGATTTTTAGTCTTCACTGGCTAACCTTGTACTAGAATGCAAAACTCAAGTGCTTTCTCTTGATCCTGTATTCTCTTCATTGGCTACTAAAGACACATTTCTCTGCTGTGCTTTTTCTCTCTCATTTGCAATGCTTCTGTGCAGGCTTCACTGTGCAATTTAGATTCCATTCTATTCTCTCCTTTCCTACTTCCATGTGTTCACGAACTGGTTGTAACTTTGTCTCTAGCCTAGACCTTTGCTTTAAGCCTAGAACCATCTATCCAATAACATTTTCAAAAGAATGTCAAGCCTAACAGTTTCAAAACTAAACTCAGGACTGAGAACTCAATGTGATCACCTGAAGCATGTCTAAGTCAGGGACTATCATAATCACCTCCTGGTTATTGCTCTCACATCTTCCACAACTACTTAATACTATACCCCATGCTATGATTTTATATTCAGTTTTATTTTAATGAACATACCCAGTCTCCTAGGTAGAAATCCATAAAACTAGTGAGGATAAGAAACATATCAGCTTTGCTTACTACAAGCACTCTGTACAATGCCTGGTACAAAAACAGTACAGAATTAACAAATGTATGAGAATATAGTATATAGGATAGGAGACCGACTCATAGAATGTAACATTTCAATATAGTATATAGGATAGGAGACCAACTCATAGAATGTAACATTAACTTACTGAAACTTAGTCTTGTGACTATGACCTAATTCCTATTCTCATGGTATTATAGTCACTATCATTTTCATCACAAAAAGTGTACCTAAATTTAACCTCTGCAGCAAAAAGATTACTGCTGAGGTTTCAATTTATCTTAGGAATATGGTTTAAAACATGTGTAGGAATCTGTGTAAAAGTAGAAAGAAGATGGAGAAAAATAAGTATCTCATTTACTCAAATCTATTCTTTCTACATATCATCAATATCTCAGCTGACATTTAAATCCTTTGCTCAGTGCCTTAACAATGTATGGAGAAAATGACCACTTCCTACCTGCCCAAGTTTCCTCCTGTTCCAAGTCACTGTTGTCTCATGTCTGGTTTGCTGAAATAACCTTACTTACTTGTTCTTTCTGCTGCAGTCTTTGCTTTCCTACAATAAACCAGCACCCTTTAAAAGGCAAACTCCTTTTAAAATACATTATATTATTTATCTTTCTAATGATACAAGTAAGTGAGATTCTCTTTTTTCTCCATCTTCTTTCCTACTTTTATACAGACTGCTACAGATGTTTTAAACCATATGGTTTAGGCTTAGATATGGTTCTTCTATGCCTCTCAGATTTTCTTCTCCTCTCTGTCCTTTCTCTTGCCGCTCTTGTCACACAGTTTGAGAAACTTTCTACCTGGGATGCTCTTGCCAATGGGTCTTCCCTCAGCACATATTTTGAAAGAGCATTTTTTTTTTTAACCTAGCACCAACATCCCTAATTTTCTACTTTATTTTCACCATAATGCACTATATTTTACTTATGACTCACTGTCAACCTTTTCCCAAATAAAATTCAACACATGGAGGATTTTTGATTGTATTCTTCTGATACTGGTTCAAAACTTGCATCAAAACAGTACTCAGGGCCCTCCCTGGTGCTGCAGTGGCTTACAATGCAGCACTACCATGCTAGTCCCTGCCCAGGAGGTGACACACATGGCATGACAGACTTCTCCTGCGTCAGCTGCTGCTCTCTCAGCAGCATACTTCATCGATCTGCCTGTTCTGTTCCCCAATCAGTCTCTGGTGACTCTCTGACCACCCCTGCACCTCTGGCCTATACCACAGTTCTGTATGCATAAATAAATAAACCTTTGGGGGAAAATGGTACTCAATACATATATGAGTGTGGAATGGACTTTAGAATCCTGGAAAAGCTTTTGGTGAACAATTTCGATAGCACTTCTAAGGGTTCTAACTGCACTATCAGTGTGCTGAGTAGGGCATGCTCAGAGTTAGGTCAGAAAAGGAAGTCTTAAGAGAAGACAAGCCTAACCTAAATCTAAAACAGCAAATATTAAATGTCTTCCAGAGAGTTCCCTATGTCCTGATGACAATATCTTTAGCCACAAGAGTGAAGTCTATGCACTGGTGGAGACTCTAGGTGATTCTAGGAGAGCAGAGGGGAGCAAAAAACCTGACCTGTGGATAACCTTTAAGGCTGTGGTGATATTCTTGCCTACTATTTCTCTAACACACAATTATTTCTGGGAGGTCGAAAGCAATTCTAAAGTTTCAAGCAGTATGTCAGAGAACACAAAACATTCTAGAATCCTCTGATGGCACTTGGAGATGGGTCAGAATGTAAAAGAATAAAAGTGAAACTACTCTGCATTTGTGAGAGCTAAGATTTTTCAGGACAAGTGCGCCCTCAGATTCACCACAGTAAGTATTTTCTACAAAAAAATACTTTCATCATACAGCTGTGTTTCAGTACGCCTGGGATTTTCTAGAATTCAGATTCTAAAGCACTGAGAGTTATAGACAAGAAAGACTGGTGTTTTTCTAGATTATCAGAGGCAAGTGCTCTGAACTCTTTTATGATGGCAAAGCAGGAGGAATATGAACCCTATTTCAATAACAGGACAGATAAATGCTTAAGGAAAATGGTCAGGCATTTCATTAAAAATAAAAACATCACCTTTTAAGCAGATTTGAAACATGGAGTAGAGAAAAGAAAGCTGAAAGAAACACAATCACTTTGAATGCAATCTGATTATTTCTTCACCTCTATTAACTCAGCTAGCTGGCACTTTGAAGGCAGCTGAGGTTTTACAATATCTGTGTGTACAAATGCCCTGGACTAAATCATGGTCCTTCTCTACTTAGACAGTTACTGGGCTAAGGCCAGAATTTGTGATTTTGCCTTTCCTCTGCAGAAAATGCTTCATCATATATTAATATGGCTTTCTTGGAAGTCATTCTGATCAGAGCTCAGTTGTCACCAGATCCAACCAGCCAACCTAAGAAATACCAACATGCCATGACAATCAACTAAATTTACCAAATTACTCTTTTGCATTTCTTCATATCACCTATCACTCTCTGAAATTATATAAAGTCCTTTTTTTCCTTTGTCAATCATCTGACTTTTTCCATTGGAGTTAGGGACTTTGTCTTGTTAACTGAGGTAGCCACAGCAGTTAGCACAGTTCCTGTCATCTAAGGAGCATTTGATTAGTATCTGTTGAATAAACAAAGGGCACTTAGCTACTCCAAAGACTTAAAGACCATCACAATGTGGACAGTCTATGAAATTTGACTCAGTCCTCTCTCCAAAATGTTGGCTGGTATTTCCATTTGTTGTACATATCTCCAGTTGAACAAGCTAATAGCAGCTCAAATTCCACATAATGAAATCAACTACTTTCCCGACTTGCCTTTTTCTTCACTTGACCTGGCTCACTATCTTTCCTTGCCTTTTCTACTTCAAAAAATTCTAAGTATAAATACTCTTCCACCTCTTGATTCCTTCCTTCTCTTTCTAGGTTCTGGTTTAGAGTCTCATGCCTTATTTTGAAAAACGATTAATAGCCTCCTTCCTACACTGCCTGTCCCATAACGAAATTCACTGCACTAGTTGAATCCTATCTGTTATTCAAAGCTCATAACAAGCATCTATTAAATGAAATCTTTCTGAACATTCCTGACTGGAAATGTTCTCTTCACTCCCCAGTATTCTTTTTGTTATTTTTCTCACAATTTATCAAAATTTCACTTTGATTTTAATTACGTCCACATTTATTTGCCACTGAAGTAATTGATAGACTTCCTAGGAGTTTGTTGTTGGCTAGCCTTGGTGCTCTGTCCTTTTAGTTATGTCTTTCAGGGCAGGGGTGTAGTAAGATCACTGTGTCCTGGGAACGTGACCTAGAAACACAGCTGAGGAATCTGACCATGGAACTTGTCGCTCACCTGTTCTTGCTGCTGTTTGGCCAGCTCCATTTGCTGGCGCTGTTTCTCAATCTGAGATGCAGCTAGCTTCTTCTGCTCATCATGGGCAGCCAGCAGCTGCTCCCGGAGACTGGTAAGCTGATTGATCATACCCATGAGCTGCCTCTCCTTCTCAGCAAGGCTTTCAGGAGTCCCTGAAATAACATCACGATATAACACACACACACACACACACACACACACACACACAAGAGAAAAGAGATGAGTGAATTTGCAATAAATAGTCCTGTTATATAAGGAACTACTTCAAATCTGAAGTTCAGATCACATCAACCCTTAGATTTTCTCTCAGCCATAATAAGTGATGACTATGGGCTTTCCCTGGTGGTGCTGCAGGTTAAAGCACAGCACTAAGAAGCTAAAGCCATTTCAGCATGAGTTTGATCCTCGCCCTGGAAGTGACCCACACGAAGCGGCAGACCTTTCCTGACCTGCCCACTGCTCCCCTCAGCAGTGTACTTTATCAGTGGGCCTATTCTGCTTCCTACTCTGTGTCTGGTGAATCCTCTCACCGCCCCTGCACCTCTGGCCTGTATCCCAGTTTTATATGCATAAATAAATTAATTAAAAATAAAAGCAATGGCTATGTACCAGTGACAAGTATCAACATAAAAATATTTTTTTATTTAAAAAAATATGTTATAATTAATAATCCATAGTTTCCTACCCCTTTATTTTAAAAGTAAAGTCAGCTGAGCATTGGCTATTTGTATGTTCTATGCTGGAGGCTGACACCATAAAAAGTCTAAAATATATTTCCTTGACTAAAGCAGCTTTTCCTCAAATTAAAGAGGAAAACCTGGAAATTTAACAACCATAATTAAAACAATATATTAAGGTATTATCAACAAGATGATTTTATTTTTCTTAAAAAGTCTTGAAGAATCAGAACTAAGGAATCCTACTTTAATAAATTCATTAACTATTTGACTGTTTTCTCATATGCCATTCAGAAGCTTACTTCAAAAATGTAACTAGCAGAAAAAATATTCAACTTTGAGAATATATGATATAATGAAATCTGTTAGAAAACTAAGAGATCACATGGTGGCCACCCAAGATTACAGTTAAATTCAAGATTTGGTGAAGATTATCAGGGTAGCCATTCAATATAAATACCATGCCTCAGAAACCCGGTAAATGTTGTAGAGAGGTAAAATACTTTTATTGTACACTGAAATGTGAGCAGTTCACTGAAACAGAAACAAGAGCACTTTTAATTATTCTTTTAAAATTCTCCAGAAAGACAAGACCCCTATGGTAAAGTACTACCAGTAGGAGACAACATACTTTTTAATTACAATTTTCACTTCAAACAAGACACTAAGCACTATTTTAATAATGTATTTGCCACCTGTACATGTAATTAGGTAGAAGGATCTGTTATAACCCAGTCACCCTGCCCTATGCCACTGCATTGCTCCCTATCAATTTATGCTGAAATACCATGTGCTATCTTAGGAAGCTAAGAGCTATAGTTAGATAGGTTTCATGAGCCCATTTAGAATGGAAATAATGTTTTTCAAGTACTTCACACAGGCTAAAGAACAAACATCTAGAAAAGAAATTCTGAGTATAAGGCAAGACCCATGCATTATAACCTTTGTCATTATCAATTCCTAGCCCATCCAATAAATTATTGCTAATAATTTATGATAGCTCAGAAGAACACTTACTTAAAAAAGAATAAATATCGGAGTGCTATAAGTAGAAGCCTAATGTTACATAATCTAAATATAAACTAGGAATATCTTTCAATGAAAATTCTCCAATGATGGTTTAATATGCATCTTCACACAATTATCAGTGGTGGAGTAACTTTTGCTACCACATTTTTAGGAATCCACACTAGGAAAAGTAACATTAATCACATCTGCTATCTTCACAACCTTCCTGTAGTAATTTCACTTCTAAATATCTAGCCAACAAAACTGTAAGAAATGAAGATAAGTGTGCTTATAAATAAAAATGTCAAATGGGAATAATCAAACAATTATTGAACATCCATATGATAGATTGCATTCATGAAAAACTATATTTAAGGATATTTAATGACATGGGATTTTTTTCATATAAATATAAATCCAGGTGGAAAAATATTGAACAGAAATGAATCATGTGTGTAAACACTTCAATGCAGGCATATATCTAAGTTTGTGAAAAATCTGAAGAGAAATTAATCTGTATATTAAGTTAATACTATTTCTAGGTGCTAGGATTATAGGTCATTTTAATGTTTTCTTCCCATTATAGAACATTTCTACATGGATAATACCACTATTATTTCTTTAATCTTTCCTTATTGGCGTTTCTTAAACTATCAGTGTCATAAAGGCTAGGACTTGGCTTAAATTTTTTATGGGATATTGTTGCTTTTAACTGACATCCCACTTGAAGGACTTAAATATCATCTGTAGTGTCACCTTGAAAAATGTTGTCTAATGAAAGGGTCTCCACTAGACTGTAAACTCTAGAAGATCACACATTTGTTACACTTATATCTTCAGAACATGGCACATGGCAAAACAGTAGAATTTATGGAATGAACTAAAAAGTATAATGAATAAAAACTAAGTTAGACTAACTTAAGTTAGTCTAAGTTTACAACTGAAGCTTCTCTCTGTGATAGTCAACTAGAGAAAAAGCAGGCTCCTTATTTAAAGGCATGAACAATAATAAAGAATTATTATGTTATACAATTTACAAACTTTCATGAATCGGTCTTTTTAAGCAAATTTAATCAAACTTTGATAAAAAATAGCTAGGTATTCTTTACTGAAATAGAAACTCTCAGAAGTTGGAGTCAATTAAAAATATGTAATGAATACTATCATTTATCATATACAGTTTATACTCTACTATGTATATGTATAACATACAGTTCATTTTCTACTAAGGACTGCTACCTTCTAGAATTCTACAATGTCTACAAAATATCAATGTTGTTCTTTTTTCTTCAGAACCTTAAAAGGACAGTTTCGGATTTAAGTAGATCATAATGCTTTCAGTGCTAAGGCAGCTGTATTAGAGAGAGATGGAGCATTTGGAACAACTGACTTTGGTCTTTACTCTGTTACCTCCTGGTTGGACATTTTATTTCTGGGATGTTATGAATAAGACACATGCTGTATTATTTCTGTTAGGAACGTACTGATCAAACTTTGTTAAGTTAAAGTATGATACTATACCATTTTTATTGCAAACTTTTACCTTTTGGTACAGATTATAATTTTATAAATGTTTTCCAAGAATATTCCTTTCACTTACTCAGAGTTAAAAAAAAAAAAGTTTTCAGAACTATCACATTAAATGTACTGCATTTACAGACTAAAATCTATTCAGAAATAAGCATCTCAAAACATCTTACAAGTACTTGGAAGATTCAGGACAATATGATGCAAAATCATCTTTACTATACCATATTTCCCCTAGCAAGAGGAATGTGAGTATAAAACAGGCAAAGTTGTTGGGTTAATTCTACCTTTCGTAATCAGTACAGTGTAAGCTTTCTTCTACATTAAAAAAAAAAAAATCTTCACCATTATTTTAATTTTAGGATCATCATATCCCTTGCACAAATGAATAGATGTACTTGTTATATGAGTACATTATTAAAATGGAAAAAAAAAGAAATAATTTGAGAGCATAATTTTATGTTCAATTAAAAAAATCCAGATTTGGCCCTCCCTGGTGGCACAGTGGGTTAAAGCACTGTACTGAGAAGCTGAAGCCACTTCCACCTGAGTTCAATCCCCGACTGTCCCAGAGGAGATCCACATGGTGTGGCAGACCTCTCCTGGCCCGCCCGCTGCTCCCCTCAGCAGTGTACTTCATCGATCTGCCTGTTCTGCTCCCCACTCTGTCCCTGGTGAATCCTCTCACTCTCCGCATCTCTGGCCTGTACCCCAGTTCTGTATGAATAAATAAATAAATCTTAAAAAAAATCCAGATTAAAAATATAAGATTCTATATTTGAAAGGTACATTATTGGGCCTTCCTGGTGGCGCAAGGGGTTAAAGCTAAGTACTATGAAGCTATCTGCAGCCACTACAGCACTAGTTTGTCCCAGGCCAGGCAGCTGACCCATATGATGCAGCAGACCTCTGCTGTGCTGTCTGCTACTCCACTCAGCAGTGTATTGCAGTCAATAGCACTGTTCTGCTTCCTACTCTGTTTCTGGTGAATCCTATCACCCCTGTACCTCCAGGCTGTAACCAGTTCTAGTGTGCATGAATAAATCTTTATAAATAAATAGACAGACAGACTACACGGGAACTACTACTAAGCTAGTAGATTAAAATGTTAAATGTTTAAAAAGCATATGTTTACTCAGAAGTGACTTTATGGCATGCACCATCCTTATGAGTGACTCTTGTACTGAACAAATTCTATATTCATCATTTCTTTCCTCTTAGTTAAAATGTACAGAAAATTTTAGGTTAATATATCAAATAAAACAGTCACAAGGTTATCATTAGCAAACTATATGATTCATAAATAGTTACTGGGTTTTCAAGGAATGGTTTTAAAACAATTTTCAAGATGATACAAATTGTAATATATTTAAACATTGAGATTTAAACTTTCATATTTTATACTAACAGAACTCTAAGGTCCCCTTCCTTGACCACCAAGGATCTGATTCCTATCCCTAACTTGCTTGTTTTCAAAGTGGCATTATTTAAACAGAATTATCTCTTTCCAAGCCACATATTGAATCTAAATATATATTTTCTCTCAAAAGTATATGGCACCTAAGAGATCATCTACTTTAACCCACATGTTGAATCTACATAGCAAATTTTTAATGCACGACTTCTGAAAGGTTATAGTACTGCTAACTGCATTACTCCCTTGAATCCATTACTGACATTCTAGACTTGTCTGGTGTTTGCCTTTATGTACCATCTTCCAGAAAGAACAAAATTACAGCTTTCAAGAGAGATTTTTTTTTATTATACCAAATGCAGCTGACATTTTCCTTAATAACAGATATGACACTTTACAGGCCTAAATTAATGCATTCTTACCTAAGTGAGAAGGGAATGCTGGGGACACTGATGGCAAAGGAACCGGACACTAAAGAACTCTTCAAACTAGACAGGTAGAGAAACTGATCTAGACATTTCTGAGTGACCTAGTGAGGAAACCTCTCAAACGAATGCTTCACTTTTATAAACCTCAGGAAGATAGAAATACTTGGCTTTTGCATGCAGATCTTTGTGTTATAATTCTACAAATATTGTAGTCAAATATAAATTTTGCAATCACTTTGTTGGAAAACGAACGCTCTGTTTACATGAGTCAAAGCCGCTCTGGATCCCCAGACACCGGCTCAGGTGAAGTGCCAATGCAATGACCTTCAGCTCCCATGGAGCTGTGCGCAGCAGAAACAATGCTTGCGGCTGCCGGCTGCCAACTGGAGTCAGGCGCTGCTTTTTCCCCTTCTCAATGACTAAGAAGCTATGAAAGGAATTTCTTCACCTTTCATAACCCGTTACTCAGTGCTCCTGCCCTAAAGGAGGGTAAAAAACTCTGTATACTGACCAGTCATACTACGTGGCTTATTAGAAAAGAAGAAATAAATCTTTCATGCAGCTAATCAATGTATACCATATTTTGACTGTTGTTGGCAAAGGTTTTTTTTGTTTGTTTGTTTTTGTTTTTTAATCAAACTGTTTTGTTCTACAAGCCTAAAACTGGGGTCCTTTTTGTGTCCGTTCAGAGGATTGTTTCTAATATAACTTTAAAACCTAATTACTTCACGTTCCAAAGTAGCAGACCATAAAATGGCATAAATTCGTATAGGCAAGATAATCTAACATAATAATTTTATGCTCTTAGAAATGTTGACCTTTACTAACTCACCTTGTTTCTCAAAAAAAAAAAGCTTCATTTTTCAATGAGTATAGCAACTCTTTGATAGTTAAAGTATACAAACTGCTATTTATTCCTCTTATTTTATCATTTTTACTTTTGTATACAAAGAAACACTTATTTTTAACTTGGCCAGACTTAAGTTCTAATCTCTGTATAAATGCCCTGATAGCAATTTAAAGTCAGTATTTAGTTGCGTCCTCATCTGACTATAATCTTAGATATTAGAGGATGGGGACGCATAGAGGCACGTGAGAGCGCGCACACACAGGCATGCACATTTGGGCACACACATATTCCCAGAACTAGTTAAAAAAGTTAAATAAAATGAGAAGTAGTGTCAGTGAAAGAAAATCTTCAATCCCCAAACCTAGCTAAATAAAGTAAATGTTGTAGACATACTAATAAATGTAAAGGCTCTATTCAAATACATTATTCTAAAGCATCGTTACAAATCATCCAGTAATTGAGTTTTTATTTTCAGATTATATTAAAACACACACACACACACACACACACATCTGGTTCCCAAACAAAACCAGGGCACACTTACTGAGACTTACACCTTTATTTGCCCATTAAAAAAAAAAAAAAAAAAACAGCGGCCAAATAGGTAAGCCATTGTTCTTGTCTAACTCCTGAGGTGGCATGAGAACCACATTCCTGAGCTCAGTATGTGACACCGCCCCCCCCCCAAAAAAAAAAAAAAAACATTAAGTCAAGTTCATTTACCCCCCAAGGGGCACCACACTATTGTCTGCACTCCACTTTCTAGTCACCTGTGAACAATGGCTAGTAATTGCAACTGTCACGGGCAGTCAGTAGGAAAAGTACCCCAATGCTCTTTTCCCAGTTTACTGCCAAACCAGATCTGAGTACCTAATAACCATGCCCCCAACAGAAGAGAGAGCTACAGTTGCTTTGAAAGTGCATCAGAAAACAGCTTTTGAACAGAACCAGAGGACAATAACCAAACTTGTGCTCTGAATGTGAAGCTTAAAAAACTCCAAATTAAAGACAGAACCTTCTTTTGTGACTGTACTGAGCTTCCTGAACTAACCCCACAGGCAAGCCTGAACAGACAGCAGAGCCTTCTTTCTCTAAGCTTATCCTCACTGCTGCTGCTGCTGCTTTTAAGTTGGACTTGTGAGGAAAACGAGGGAGGGGAAACGTGTGTTCTCCAATGGAATGAGATCACAGGTGGGGAACAGGAGGTCTTCTCTGCTCAACTCTGTTATTACCTCGCTCAGGGGAGAATAAAGAAACTTAGAGAGTACATTTTATATCTCAGGGGACAAGGGGTTAAAATTCAACAAAATAATATGAAGGGTCTGCTGCCCACAACTACTCTATTCTGTTTGAACTTTGTCTTGAAGCCCTCTAAGGTGCATCCATTGGTATGTACTTCAATGTGGTTCCATTCTAGATTTCTGTTGCTGAATTAGGTTGATTAACACCCATTCATTCTCTCACCACTCATTCACACCTAATCATAGCCCAGATATATGTAAACTCCAAATATAAGGATGAAAAGAGAAATCTGCAGTCATACATTTTCTGGACTTTCTAAATATGGAAATTTTAGTGTTACAGAGGCAAGACAGTTTAGAAGACTAATCTATGTTTTGTCTTTCTTAAGATGCTGGGAGGTGATAGTGTCTTGAGAGACAATGTTCTCTCTCTTAGGGGAACAAACACAGACAAATTATTAACACACATTTTTACATGTATCTTAATAGAAACTTGGTGAGCAACATATAAATAGATTATTTAATATTGATAATATTTTCCTCTGAAAATTAATCCTAAAGAACTCAGAATCAATAGTGTTCTATTAGCAATAAATTGTAAATGTCTGCTATGCAATGAGAAAACACATCTTTAAGTTATTTGAAAGATCATTTGATTTCCATGAAAAATCAAATCTGTTTTCCTCTTTATTAATAAGTTGACTCTAAAGTATCTTCTGAAGTCAATATAGCATTTTAAAAGTTATATGTAATTGCTTAGTCAAAACCAACTATAAACCACATCTGCATTGGTGCAAAGCAATTTTTTATTAAGTCTTCTCCATTCTTCATTTTTGCTTTTGAATGTAGAATAGGTATATTCACCCGTCCAATATTGAAAGTGTATGAAATCATCTTGAAATACACAATATATAACTGTATATTGCTATATATACATTCCTATTTATAAAGTAAGTCATATATACTTTTTCTAAAAAATGATGAAAACAAAAGACTGTTAAAGACTCAGTGGGGCTATGCTGTTACAACAGCATGCTGTTTATTTTGAAAGGCACAGAAAAAGCAACTCTAAACCCAGATTCATCCACTTTCAAGCTAGATAGAAGACACCCCTAAACCAGAAAAGGTAAGGGGCTGGAGTAGGTTGGAGAGGAATCACTCTATCATCACTAGCATTCCTGGAAATCAACTTCATTTAGTTACAATTTCCATCAATATAATTACGAACATATTACCTTTTATTTCACCAAAGTTCCCTGATCCCATTGCAAGAAGCTTGTCTTTCCAGTCCTTTGAGAGTAGCTTTTCAATACTGGGGGTTTCTAAGTAAAGAAGAAAAAAAAAATAATGTAAGCAAATCAACATGACTATCTTTACAATGGAGCTCATTAAAAGTCTATCTGCTAAAAATAAGGCCATTCCTAACCCAGCCCCAGTTCATAATGACTTCATCAACAAACTGATAACAGGGGAGGAAAAAAAGAATGTGTTTTGTCACCTGCTGTTTCAAAATCATTAGCTTTTTCCTCTTGCGGAACAAAGCCGTACTGATTCTTTATGACAATGGGTACATATAAACCTGCAGTTCATTGTTTTTCAATTTGGTGAACAAATTCCTGCTATAATGGATGCTTGTCAATTTCAGGGTGTTAGTCTGCAGTCAAAAAATAATTATGTTGATAAAATGCAGAGTAAAAAAAGGCAAAGAATTAGCTCTTAAATCTGCTACATGTAATTATATCCCTCTGTGTGTTTACAATTACATCCACTTTATAATATGTGTTTAACATCGTGTGGTGGTAAGCACACTGTGGAAAGATTTGCCAGTACCGAGAACATTTTTTTAAAAAAAGTTGGTATAAAGGAAGCTTTACAAAGATTGCAAAATCTAGAGAAGGAGTAATACCTATTATGGAAACCTATTACTTGTTTATTTCTGATTTGCATCACATTCTTTCAAAACGCCCTTTATTGGGACAGGGCACACAGATTTTAGAGACTAAGGCTCATTTTGTACTCTGACATTTGTTTCTATGTATCTCACGGTTTCTGACCTCGCCTTTTGTGTTGAATTTTAATGTATAAGTAAATATAAATGCTAATAAAACTCCCAAACATTAAACTCAGCTCCAAACAATGCAATTGTATATTCTTGTCAGCATTTAGATGGGTACACAATTACAATGGCTTTCAAACCCACGATTAGCACTGCATTCAGTGGAAAATGGAGTGTACTAAAAGATAAGTGTCCCAGTATGCCCCATCTAAATAACAATGCCCACACTTATTATCTGGATCTAAGACATACACTGCCATTCTCCACATTGGTGTTTATGTGTATTTGTGTTTGTTCAGACATTTGCTTACCCCCTACTAGGAACATAAAGGGAGTACATGTTAACTTATCAAAGGGACCGTCTGGCCTAGGGACCATAAGATTATTAGGAATTGGTTCATTTTCCCCACAGTAAAATACATTTTAAGGCGTCTTTATCATCTTTGGCTGATGCCAGGCACTTTTCCTCAGACCCCTATCTTAGAGAAATCAGCTATCAGAGTCTGTCTGAGCGTTTCAACAAAGCAGAGGTGAAATTTTCCTTGGCAAAACTGTGACCGTATGGAATGCTTCTGCTTCAGATGTCAAAACTTGTGGAAAATAAAATGGTGAAAGTAATGAATGATTAGGACTTTAGTCCATATGTGAAGAAAATTTACAAATATATACTTATGTACATATTTTATATAAGTGCATAAAGAATACAAATGTGTATATACACCTATATACACTCACATACTTACATGCCAGGATTGTGTGCACATTTACTATGGAATGTGTGAAATGTATTTTTGACTTTATAACAAAATCTATCTCCATTTTTCATGTTTAAGGGGAAAATATTTTTTTCAAAAACTTCTTTTGTTAAAAAAATCCCTATTTATAAACCATTTTGTTTTGAAAATGGTAATGAAAATTCTGAGTAATAAAATCAATTTAATATCTTCCTGCTGTGATCAATATTTCTTTTCTTTGAGGCTTTAGAAGTAACTTTAAAATACTGCCAGGATTCCCAGTCACTCATTCCCAATAAACTCTTGGTGAGTGAAATTTTCTAAATCTTATCAGAGCAGGTCAAACAAACACCACTGTTTCTTTTTTCCAGCACTCTACAAAAATTCTTGAGTAGCATGTAAACAGGGCACAGCCACGAAGGTATTTGCAATAGAGCACTGCCTGTCATTAAAAGCTAACAAACCTTTGCAAAGCAGGAATGCAGCAGTAGAAATCCATTGTGCACTAACAATAGGCCCTGAACCTCAGCACCAAAAGCAGACCATTTTACTTTTAAGGCTATTGTCTGCAAAGTCCATGACAAAGCTTTTCCCCTGCAGCTAGACAAAATATTCACTGTAGTGTGCTCCTAAAGAAACAGAAGTCTTCTGTCTAAGTTGCAGAGTTAAAGCAACAGCAGCCAGATTTCTGAAATCTGCAGAACATTCTTGTCCTCTTCATTAACTTGCATAAAGATATAAAGCTTGCCTACAGTGTGACTTTTTTTATGTGCCGAACTTTGAAAACCCTCTACAGAAAAGAAGAAGAAGAAGAAGAAGAAGAAGAAGAAGAAGAAGAAGAAGAAGAAGAAGAAGAAGAAGAAAAAGAACTTCCTGTAATAATTTGGAAAATGTCAAATCAGAAATAAGGCTAAATCAGGGTTGTCATGACTGAGGATGAATAAAGATACCAATACATGCAATGGATGAGGGATATACTTTAAATTCAGATTCAAAACATTTATTGAACAGCTTAGGCTCCTGGAACTATCTGAAATGCTTTCTTACCTGTATTCTCTCAAAAATCAAAGAAAAGAATGCATTATCAGAGCTTTATTGGAGTGCATCTTTAAAAAACAAAAAAGCAAAAAGAAGAAAACTTGTCTGAGGTTCCATAAAGTGTAATAGGCAGTGCTGAGTCATGAATTGAGTTTTTCTTTTTTTCTACAAATTCCTAACTCTTGTCAATAAAAAAAAAATGATATGATAGCTACTATTATGAGGTGAAATGCTAAGCATTACAGCAGTTCCTTTACAAGTGACATCTCAAACTTCTCACAGAAATTTTCTGAATCAGGTATTGGTACAACTGCTTCACCATTTAGGAAACCAAATCTCAGGAAAATATCATTTCTTGTCCAAAATGTAGCTAAGTTCAACTTACAGGCTTTTTTTTTTTTCTGTTCTTTTCAATACACACACACACACACACACACACACACCTCCCACTCTATGAATTTACACCTCAATTCAATGAAAACCTATAACCAGATAGCAGAGTTACCTGATGCAGTTAGAACATTCATAGGTAAGTCAAACAACCTAGATTCTCACCAATACTATGACACGGCTTGAGGGACAAAGGGCACCTCATTTTACCTACTCACCTCCACAGCAATTCCATATCCAGTTGCCCGTTTCAATTAGTTTCCCTTTCCAGTTTATAAAAAGTGGTAAGAATTACCTCACAATCATGACTGTGAATTTCTCTGAAAATGGCAAAGATCCCATAGAAAATTCATGACTAGATGTAGAAGACTAAATGGCAAAATCCCAGTATTTATAAAATACCTGTTCATAAATGCACAGCTATGAGTAAAGTGAAATGTGACACTATTATGTTAAGTGCTACTTCAGTGCTTACACAGAAAAGACAGTTCTCTATTAAATATTATATCTTCTAAAATATGATGTATTTTAAAACATGAAAAATTTGTTTTGATACTGTGAACATATTTCAGCAGTTTTTTTTCAAATCTTCGAATTACGGATTATTCATTATTTTCATGTTAAAATGGGACATAATTTTAATTGAACACTTTAAAAGTCTCCTGAGAGTTACTTCTCCCAAGCATTTAAGAGTCACAGTTACCATCAAAATGAAACTGGGGCTCTCTATGTTGAAATAAGTGTGAATTATAATAGTAGTTACTACTTGCATACCATTTCAGCTTACAGAATGCTAGCAATGAAATATTGTTTTTGATAGTAAAAATTATTATCCATTTTGCAGATGAGAAAACTAAGTCTAAAAAAGTTGCTTTGTCCAAAAAAGCAGAACAGACAAAATATAAAGCCACTTCTCTTTGCTTAAAGATCTGCATCTATAGGGGGAAAATAGGTAGGTATAAGTTTTAAAAGAAAAAAAAATAAAAGTAAGCTATAAAACAAATTGGAGAGACATGAAAACTAATATCAGTCAACACGTCGATATTAATATGACTGTCATTGGATTACTTTTTTCTTCTTTTGCCATCAGGACCCTTTTGATATGTTTGCTTGCTTTTTCCTTCTCATTCTTACATCTTTTGCTCACATATGCTTCTTCACATCAATGCCTATGGCAATCCCCACCAGTGAATGGCCTCCCCAACTGTGCCAGCCATTGTTACAACAGCATCCTGCCTCTTTAGGGCCTGTTCATCCCTTATAACTCTCACTCCTTTTTCCCTTCAGTGCCAAACACTCTTAAGACTGACTCCCTCATCTGGAACAATGAGACCTAGAGACTCATGCCAACATATTGTAATTCTCCAACAAGCTGCCAGTGCCAAGAATTAAACCACATTCGCTCCAGTGCAGTAGCTTTACACACAAGCTCAGGTTTTTGCTTTGTGTTTATGTAGTTTTTTTTTTTTTCCCTTTTAATCTCCCTTGAGCTGCAATGGTAGAGCTCATTGAAAAACTGAACAAGCAAAAAATATGTATGCAGAATATTTGACTTTTTAAACAAAGTCCCAAGAGTTAGGTCATACCAAATCTACCACTGTTTATACTTAAATTTGGTAGCTTAAACTAAGCTGTGCTAGTCCTGACATGCAAGAGGGTCACATGGGAATTATCCTCTGGAAGGAATAACAATAAAGCTGAATTTTAGAATATACCAGTAACTCCTTATAAGGCAAGAAGTGAAAGTACATGTTATTATTCATATCATGAAATCAGAATTCTACACCTGGAAGGATTTTTAGCTATCATTGAGAATGAAAATTTCACAGAAGTAATTTACTAAAACATATAGTAGACATAAAATGGTACATGTTTGGCTACTTAAAACTAAAACATCATAAGCATTTCATTGTCATGTAACTCTAATTAATATTAAACAAATTTATATTTCCATTCCACAAGACAAAGATCTTCTCATAGGCTAACAGACTGCTAACTCTTTTAGTGAATTACGGATTATATAGTGTTATTTAAATATTTGACCAAGAAAATTAGTGTTTTGCTCAATACAATTTGGATAGTAACTGATCTAGATCAAACTCTC